TGACCCCCAGTATTTTGAATATTTGACAGTTATTTTCTGTTTTGTTTTCCTCACACAATGTAACTCTTTGTGCTGAAGTAATGTACCTATTCTGAGATCAATATCTTATTAATTACGCGAGAAATTAGTAAAAAACAGTTTTTAATTTTCAACTTTGACACCCTGTATATCGAATAAGAAGGGCTAAAATGAAAAATGGTATTTAGAAACTCATATCATTTTTGTTCAAGGAATATATGGTTAATGGATTGACCTCCTTTTAGCGGACACCCTGTATATATATTTCATGAAACCAAAATGAAGGTTCCTATAGATCACGTGAGATAAGAGCTTATATGAGATTTACCCGCAAAAAGCGAGTGATGTTATTACAGGAACAAGAGAATTCGTAAACCTCACAGAATCAGATTATCTACAGTCACTTTTTCATTCGCTTACGTGAGAAGAATCTGCTTAGTCGCACCCAGTACCACTTGACATATTCTCCGATCCATTATTTTCACCTTCCCCGTTCCAGACACGTTCGCCACATTCTCTTCATCGTTCATGGCCAATCTTTTCCGTAATTTACTTTGAGGAGATGGGGTCGTTTCGTTAGCTAGATGGTGGAAACTTTTCGGGGGTAATTGCACATGTGCACAAAAATTCTCGATCATTGAGAATAATGTATAAGGGCCGCCCAAAGATTGATCAGAGAACACATTTTTCACATTATCCACAGTGGCGGAACGACCTATCAGGCGATCGGGCATCGCCCGGTGGGCCGACTTGCATTGTTCTTGGAAGGAATATCCTAAAAACATCCAGGGGTATCCTGATAAAAAAATCCAAAGTGAAGTGTCCTACAAACGAAATGGAATTTTTTCAAGATTCTGAGAAATCTGGAATGATTTGTATTGTTCTTGGAATATCCTGAAAAAATGGCCTTGTACACACTAGTCGAATTCACGTCACATACCTATTTTATATTAATCATACTGTGTATAAATAGTATTTGATCGTTATTCAAAATAATCTCAAAAATATATTTTTTCAATAATTAAATTCGACGACTTCGGATAAAACGCCAGGTTCGATGACGTCATGAACCGAATTCTGGCTCTCGCATTATAAGTAGGGACCACATATTTCGACGCAGCCAGATTTGCAACTAGTAATTAACCTATGAGATTCAATATGACCAATCCTAGTAATGCTAACATTCACAGAAGACAATAATAGTTCGACCTAGTCCCTATAATAATAACTTATTGAATACTTATAATACAGACAGGGCTCTGCATCTCACCTCCCGTCTTCTATAGCTCAGTTACCAGTTGAGTCAGGATTTTGATATTTTGCAGACTCCAATTGTATCATAGGGCGCATACCAGGAAAATAATTTCGATTATACAGGGTGTCCCAAAAAAGTGTACCGTCATGATGATATATTTTTTTAAATGACATGCCATATTTTTGTTGCCCATTTGAGTGCTTCCAGTGGTTACCTAAATACTCTTGGAATTTTATTGAAATTGATTCAGTGATATTCACATAAAAAATTCATCTATATCTATCTATCTATCTATCTGGGCTCCGTGGCCGAGTTTGTCTATGCGCTGAAATTCGCTAGATAGCCGTTCACGATGCAGAGGTACTGTCGGTTCGAATCCGGCTATCGGCTGAGCATTTTTCTTTAAAATGTGTGATTCATGGTTGTAATCCTGGCAGCACCTCGATGCCCTAGAAGTGGTTCGAATTCCACTATAAGCTGTAGGACCCACTCTTCCTAACCACGCACAAGTTTCGACTTCTGGGGAGTTGGTTCCCAACAACAAATTTTACAAAAAAAAAGTTCACAAAATCTATCTATCTTACTATATAAGAAAGCATCAGTTGTGTTTCAGAATAGTCAATTGAATTTCAGAAAGCATCAAAATTATTTTTCAGAGTAGTCACTTGTATTTCAGATACCGTCAATTGTATTTCAGAATAGTCCATTCAATTTCAGGATGCCTCACTTGTATTTCAGAATAGTCTATTGAATTTCAGGAAGAATCATTTGTATTTCAGAAAATATCATTTGAAGCTCAAATGACGCTTCCTGATATTAAATTGACTATTCTGAAATACAGTTGTCGCTTTCTGAAATTGCATTGACTATTCTGAAATACAATTGACGCTTTCTAAACTTCAAGTGTCTATTCTGAAATAAACTACTTATGAGATGAAGTGGGACAGCCAAAAAAATTACTAATTTTGATAAGCTATAACTCGAATATCTCTTGGCCGATGTTGGATTTTCAACCAAAGGTAGAAAGCTTCATCCTTGGGCTATGCGTCATTGGGGTCGGGTTTTTATTTTTGCGATTCGCTCTCTTTGTACAGAGTGTGAATTAAGAGCCGGAAAAAAATTCAAATTTTTGACCAATAATTTAGGAAATGTTAGGGACCTTCTTCTTTTTTAGATGTTGGGTGAATGGTTGGTCCGATTAGTGATTCACACGAGACCAACGAGAGGAGACTTTCATAAAGTCTCGTCTCGTCTCGCCGATGAAATATGAAGTCTTGTCTCGAGTCTTGTCTCGCAGCCTCCAGTCTCGTCTTGTCTCGCGTCTCGTACGAGAGTCTCTCAAATGTATCGCAATTTCGTCGTGCATAATCTTGTTCCAGTATAGTACGGGATATTTACCTTCACCTTCTTATAATGTAGAAGTAGGAAGACTAAATTACAACAAAAATAACATTATTCATTGAAAAGTAAGTACCTAATAGGTACATATTTACACTCGTATTTACATCATACATCTAAACAAGAAAAAAAACATTTGTTTTTCAACATCGTGCAGATTCATTATTAAGGCGATTCTTAAGAGATCTCGTGCCATCAAACTTAGAATGGAAAATTCAGAAGCATGAATTTTCCACCATTGCATATATCTGTGTTTTTATTACACCGAGGCACAGAATGATATATGTTTGAATCTCCTTCATCCATACTCCCGTTGAAACAAAGTTATTCTTTATCTTAGACTATTAGCACAGAATGACTTATTTATAGATTTTCAGGTAGTCATTCAATTTGCGATCTGTCGTTATCGCAGAATTGCCTTTATTTTCCGCCGCCATAAGAGATCATGGATCGTGTTTTTAAAGTATTCATGAATGAAATGTTTTGTCTATCTGTGCTAAATATTCTGAATTATTTCTAAATATGTTGTTTTATGGATGAAAGTCTCAAGTCTGCAGTCGGCACGCAGAAATATTTACCTGCGAGACTCTCGCACGAGACACGAGAAGTCTTGCATGAGACTCGAGACGAGACCACTGAAAGTCTTGTCTCGTCTCGATTCTTGTCTCGAATACGAGACGAGACCATGCGAGACTCTCGAAAACGAGACTCTCACGGGCACCACTAGGTCCGATACCTCGAGACGTCTTTGATTTTTTTTTAATAAATTGCGTTGCAATGGAGAAATCGCCATCTTATGAAATTCCATTTTTATTTCAAAATGTGGCCTCCATTAGTTCAACAATAACAGCCAACATCTAAACTGCAACGAGGGATATTTCTACTGAAGATGATTAGCACCAGTGGCAAGCAAACAAGGGGTTTATGATATTTAGATACAAAAAATTCGTTTTCCTTGAAAAAATTCAACAGTTTTATTGATCGTTACAGTTGAAGAGGTATCATTATCATACCCTTAATTAGCATGATTTTCACAAATTCAGAGACATGCAAAAAACTGGGCTGATGATATTTAGAAACGAATAATGCTCGGCCTCATCGGGCAATATTAGTAAACAGGTATCTGCAAGACCAAAATATTAATCGTAGTGAATTGCCTCCCTGATCTCCAGACTTGAATCCTACTGAGCACTACTGGAGTTGGATGAAGTTGAAATTTTCCCGAAGGGAACGTCAGCCAGAAACTCTTGACGATCTCTAAAGGATGATAAAAGACATCTGGGAGGCAGTTCCTATATAGAACTCATGAACGAATTAATTTTGAGCATGCCAAGTCGGTGCTATTCAGGCTAGAGGGGGGCCAACGCCTTACTGAAATGAGATTCATATTCTTTCTTTATGAATATTCATTTATTTGTTTTTTTTTTAGTTTCTTGAATAAAGTTCTCTTATGTACGTAAGCATATGAATTTTTTTGTACGCCGATGGATTCATTGAAAAGGAATCAATTACATGTATGCACCTTGTAAATAAATGAGAATAAAATGAATTAGGAAATTGGAATTTTTATTTGTCCACATTATAGAATCACCTTTTGCACCCCTCTGAATTTGTCATCATGCTAATAAAGTACGGCAACTTTTTTACTGTAACGATCGATAAAACTGTTGATTTTTTTTTCAATAAAAATATTTTTTTGGTTTCTAAATATCATAAGCCCCCTTCATGCTAATTAAGGGTATGACACCTTTCCAACTGTAACGATTGATAAAACTGTCATTAACCCCTTTTTGCGCGTCACTGGTGTTTATCTTCAGTAGAAATATCCTTTGTTGCAGTTTAGATGTTGGCTGTTATTATTCAACTAACAGAGGCCACATTTTAAAATAAAAATGGAATTTCATGAAATGTCGATTTCTCCATAGCAACACAATTTATCAAAAAAATTCCAAAGACGTCTCGAGGTATCTGATCAACCGTTCTCCCAACATCTAAAGAAGAATTCTAGAGTCCCATTTCCCAAATTATTGGTCAAAAATTTGAAATTTTTCCGGCTCTTAATTCACACTCTGTAAAAAGAGAACCAATCGCAAAAATGAAAAACCGACGACCAAGAAATGTTCGAGTTTTAGCTTACCAAAATTAGTCAATTTTTTGGCTGTTCCACTCCATCTGGTAAGTAGTTTTTACAATCGATACATTCTGAAATGAAAGTGACTATTCTGAGATTGAATTGAATCTTTCTGATATACTACTGGAAAATTTGTGGGTGCATTCTAAAAACGCCAGATTCAGCGACAAACCTCTGACCCGGCAACACTGCTTCCAGGTGACGGCCGCCGGCAAGGCCGTCCTGATAACCGGCTGCGACTGCAGCGTCGGCAGCGCCCTCGCGCGCCACCTCGACGAACAGGGCTTCACGGTGTTCGCCGCCTGTCAGGACGCCGCCTCGGCCGAGGCGCGGGACCTGAAAGAGCTCTGCTCAGGCCGCGTGCACGTGCTGCAGCTCGACGTGGCCAGCGAGACGCAGATCCTGGCCGCCTCGCTGTACGCCGTCGAGCATCTGCCAGATGGCGCTGCCGGTCTGTGGGCCGTGGTGCACGCGCAGGCGTGGGTGGCGCTGGGCGAGATCGAGTGGATTCCGCCGCAGGTGAGCGGGGTGCAGCGTTGCCAGCTTTCGCTTTTGTTGTAGTCTATTGGCTAGCCAAGATTTTGGTATAATTTGGGGGTACTAATTTTTCGTCATACGGCAGTTATACAGGGTGTCCAAAGATAAAACCGACAAGACTTATGGGGTTATAGGGACTCTCAATTTGATTGCAAAATGCCATAAACCAATATCCAAAACCGCTTATTCATTATTGATAAACAGAGTGATTTGTGGATTTCGACAAAAAATTCAATCCGTCATCTCAAATACAGGGATTAACGGACTAGATTGAAATTTGGTACACGAATTACACTGAAAAGCATCAACAAGTAGCCCTTTGATCGAAACCAATATCAGGACCGGAATAATATTTTTCTCCTATGTTGAGTTATTGTTAGAATAACACACCCTGTATAATAATAACCAAAAATTTCAACTCAGATTCGAAATCTACGGTGAAAATTGTATAGGAATTTGTTGAAAAATCTCCTGGCACTATCATAGTTATTTCTTAATCAATTATCATTTTAATTTTTTTCATTCAAAAATCAATTATTGTCGGATAAAGTTGACATGAATATATTTATTTTCTTCAATCAGTTCGTGAATCGTAGTAAAATAAATCACTCTCATGACCCGAAAAAACTGAAAAATAAATTCGTATCAGGACAGGAATGAAGTTTTCTATGATTATATTCCTGTAAAAATAGATGATCTAGTATAACAATCATCTGATCGCAGATTCGAAATGCACTGAGAAAAGTTAGAAAACTTGTTGAGAAATGATCGAACTGAACTTTCAAATAATAAATCCGCATCAGTACCTTATAATGTTTGTGTATAGAGAATACTAGGCTTGTGTCAAATTCAGAATTTCATTATGGAAAACCATTGTTTACCTGTCATCAGCGTTGGTTTTATTGATGTTCATTCATTATGCCAGTGTTTTTAGGATCAAACTATAGTTCTGAGAGTGTGTTTAAGATGTCGTTTCATCTCACTAATGAGGAATACGCAGATATTCTATTTTTGTATGGGCTTTAACTGGTGATGTTGACCTAAATTTCTATTGCAAGGTGTAAATACCTGGGGTATGTGGTTTCAGCATGATGGTGCTAGACCTCACTTTTCAGTTCCAGTTAGAAACCATCTCGATGCCAATTACCCCAATAGATGGATTGGCCGTGGAGGTTCAGTAAATTGGCCACCGCTATCCCCTGATCTAACTCAGCTTGATTTTTTTTATGAGGTCATTTGAAGTAAGAAGTTCATAATGAAGAAATTTGAATTAGAGAAAATGTATTATGGAAAATTACTGCAGCCTATGTTAGTCAAATAATTCGCAAGTCAGTTAATCATCTAATAGCACGCTCTCAAAAATGTATTGATGATGCCGGATGGCTCCACTTTGAAAATGTTTTGTAATACTGGGTAGTGAAAGTTTTTTATGAATTCATTGGTTTTGTTATGTTCATTACAAACAGTTATTGTTCTTTGTGTAGTATTTTCATGAATTCAAATTCATTAGTGAGCGAATATAATTTACCAAAATTTCACTCTTATCCTTTTTTAACAGGTTCTTATACGATTTTTTTAGATTTCGAATCTACGATCAGATTATTGATAACTATTGATGTACTAGATCAGCTAACATAAACAAACAAAAAACTCATTCCAGTCCTGATATGAATTTATTCTTCAGTTTTTTCGGGTAATGAGAATATTTCATTTTACTCCGATTTATGAACTGATTGAAGAAAATAACGACATTCATGTCATGGTTTCGTGAATATTCATTATATTAACAATTTTGGTGGTACTTTATCCGAAAATAATTGATTTTTTAACGAAAAAAATTAAAATAATAATTAATCACGGAATAACTAAGATAGTGCCAGGAGATTTTCCAACAAATTCCTATACAATTTTCACCGTAGATTTCGAATCTGAGTTGAAATTTTTGGTAATCATTATACAGGGTGAGTTATTCTAACAATAACTCAACATAAGGGAAAAAAATTATTCCGTTCCTGATATTGGTTTCGATCAAAGAGCTACTTGTTGATGCTTTTCAGTGTAATTCGTGTACCAAATTTGAATCTAATCGGTTATTCCCTGTATTTGATATGGCGGATTGAATTTTTTGTCAAAATCCACAAATCAATCTGTATCTCAGTAACGAAGCGGTTTTGGACATTCGTTTATGACATCTTGCCATCATATCAACAGTCCCTATATCCCTATGAGTTTTGTCGGTTTTATCTCCGGACACCCTGTATAGGTAAATAAGGATCTTTAAAAACTATGATTGCCACTTCGAAGTGGTACCTAATACAAATGGCGGCGAATTCAAAATGGCGGATGTTGTATTTATAGTAACGATCGTATCTCTGGATATAGTGATCCGATTCCAACTTTCTTAGGCTCGAATGGAAGCTCTTATTGTACTCTAATTTTGAATGTTGCTAAATGTTTTTGATATTCGCAGCCGTTAATTGATAAAACACGAATAAATGGTTTTTTTTTGGTGACGGGAAAAAAGTTTGGCATTTCATCTCTGTTGGCACGTTAAAAAATGTCACTTTTCATAAATTACTTTTTCCCGTGGGAAAAAAGTGAGTAGTTATTTCCCGGATATATATCACACTGTTGATGGCTTTTGTTGTGCTATAGTTCCGAGAAATGAGTCAATAATACCGTCTCCGAGAAAGAACTGCAAGTCCTTTTTTCTTCCATTCGACTTCGCGGTTAAGTATATTACTAAACAACCACTAAATTCGCAATTTTTTAGAATCAAATCACAGAATTAGACTGGCAGAATTGACATCAGATATTTGATTACTTGAAAAGAAAAACATGGCCCATGCCCCCCCTGGATCCGCCCCTGGAGTAAGTAGAGGAACACCTCAGACTACACTTTACTTTGTTACGCACGAATTCAATACTACCTATCCTCGAAACGTGGATGCCGTGCCATATTTTTATGCAATGTAACAAATAATTTTTGTGCTGAGAATATTCTACCTGCATTTACAGATTTTCAAGGATGTTCAAATTGTAGTTTCAATATAAATACAACCACAGGGCACAAAGTGGCCTATTTGTGTATTTCATTGAATCGATGAATCGATGAATTCATTTGGACCAGTCAGTCCTAATAGCAAATACCGCGCCATCAGTACCACGTATAGGAAAAAGAAGTGGAAAATGTTAGGTTAGTGAGCATATCAACAATAATTATAGCGATTATTTATTCCACTCCATATTTCACTGTGTTTGGCTAGGTAATCTATTTAAGGTGAACAATATCGTTGTGTGAGACAAAAAGGTATTGCTGGCCGTGATCATTCAAAAATGAGTTATCCAATCAATCAGATCCCATTGGTATGAAATGCCAAATCTGCCGGAATCGGAAACAAATCAGGTATGCGTCCCAACCCAAATAACCAACCGTAACAATGTTGTTTATTCTTGGTGACCGTACACTAGGGGTCCTTTTTAGTTCCTAGAAGTTCAACTTCAACTCCTAGGAACTAAATGTGTTGCCTAACAACATACCTGTTTGTTTCGGTAATAGAAACATCAATTCATGATCAAATGTTGGTATTAAAGAGGACGACTTTTATGTCGGTGTCAGAAAAAACTTTTCGTGTTCTGTTGCGTTAATTTTCGAATATAAATTACTTGGACACTTACTTTCTCCGTTCTTATTAACGTAGCAGCAAGATATGTCCGCCCCATGTGCATTTGGCCAATTTGAATTTCAACAGACCATCAGCACGCCGCGTATATATTTGTTAATTATGATGCAATAATATTTTGATCATTCATCCTCATAAATACAGGTGGCTGGTAGCGGTATATCGCAATAGCAAATTCAACATTAAACTAGGAATAATAATTATAGGGAGAGCATGAAAAGTATATTCCAGCGAGCTGTGAGCATAACCATGCATAACCTTGCAACTTTACAACCCCCTGGATAGTTGCGGAGCGTCTGAACTAATTAATAATGATGAGTTTTAACGAGCTTGCATTATTAAAGCTATAACTATGGCAATTTCTACCTTCGGCTTCATTTAGTTTGAAAATATATAGGTCAGTATATTACACAACACTCCGTTCTACCATATGGTTCTACTTTCGTCATGAAGGTATTAATTAAGGTAAGTTTGTATCATATTAAGATAGACTCCGTCTCAGTTGGAGAGAAAAGGAAAAATCGATCGAAACAAAGAAATATAACGCCGCATACCGTCGCTCCTTTTGAACTTTTGAACTTCAAAAGTACTAGCCGGTTTTACCAGGGGTCTTTTGGGTGCTATAGTACCAGGCGGCAAAATCTCCAAGGCGGCTATATGAAAATACAACTGCACATCTTTTGTCATTAGTCATTATCTGGATATTTTGATTTTTTACGCGAAAGATTTGATCACTACACTACCTAAACTGAAATTTATGTTAAGTAGTGAATCATCCCAAGAAAAGCACAATTAGGAGAAAAAATACTGCAAAAAGTTCAAACCAGAGAGAAAAATGGCGGACACAGTGTTTTATTTCAAGTTGCAGCTTTGAAACTTTTCGTCGGACTTCCACCTACAAATCTTGTTCAGAATCATTTGACTTCCTGTTCAAGATAGTGTCAGCAGAGGATGGAAATTTGATCAAATTGGCAACTGAACTACAAAAAAAGTATGTAGAGGATCTGGACAAATTTGTTCCTGACGAATATTATTCATCAAAATTAACAGTTTTTTCTCCTAGAGACTAAAGCAGAAACTACTATTATGGAATCAGTCCAAGTTCCATACGAGAATGATGTAATATTATAACTTCTTTTCCCAATATGAATATTTGTTTCCGAAATTTTTGAGCTAACAAATTTGTCGAGAAATTTGTCTCAACTCAAACAAGATCTACTAATATAGAGCTCGTGAAGAGTGTCATATACATAATGGCTTGCATTGAAGCAAGAAAACACATTTTTGTATTATTACTTT